AGTAATAAAAGTAACAAGTCTAGCGTATGATGCACTGTGTGGATCCATCGGTAGTGAATACATAATAAAAGTACAGTCAGCGTATTATGCACTGTGTGGATCCATCGGTAATGAATACATAATAAAAGTCAGTCAGCGTATTATGCACTGTGTGGATCCATCGGTAGTGAATACATAATAAAAGTCAGTCATTTAAAAAGTGCCAACCTAGTTTATCGTATTTACTTAGCATTAAACGTGTGTTTTTTAATAAAGCAAAATTAACTATTGATCCTCATTGTTGATCTTGGCTATTGATCCTGATTGTTGGTCCTGGCTGTTAATCCTAACTTCTGATCTTGACTATTCATCCTAGCTACTTATCCTGGCTACTAATCCTATCTACTTATCCTGATTACTCATCCTATCTACTTACCCTGGCTAGTAATTCTGACAATTTATCCTAACTTCCTATCCTAGCTAATAATCTTAACTTCTGATCCTGACTATTCATCCAAATTACTTATCCTGGCTGTCAATCCTAACTTCTGATCCTGGGTACTAATCTTGACTATTTATCCTAATTATTTATCCTGGCTGCTGATACTAAAAACTTATCCTGGCTACTAATCCCAACTTCTGATCATGGTTACTAATCTTGACTATTTATCCTAACTACTTATCCTGGCTACTAATCCTAACTTCTGATCCTGACTATTCATCCTAACTACAAATCCTGGCTACCAATCCTTCTTTGTTGTTGTTGTTTTACGCTACATATAACTACTCTGCATGTTGTTATTTTACGATACATATAACTACTCTGCATGTTGTTGTTGTTTTACGATACATATAACTATTCTGCATGTTGTTGTTTTACGATACATATAACTACTCTGCATGTTGTTGTTGTTTTACGATACATATAACTATTCTGCATGTTGTTGTTTTACGATACATATAACTACTCTGCATGTTGTTGTTGTTTTACGATACATATAACTACTCTGCATGTTGTTGTTTTACGATACATATAACTACTCTGCATGTTGTTGTTGTTTTACGAT